GATTTTAAGAGTCTTCATCGACAAATTGCAACACATTTTGAGAAGGAAACCCTCGAGGTTGGTGCGGCAGGAGTTGGTACATTCCAACAACTCCCTGCCTAACTGACTCGCTCTGACCGATGAAGCTGCTTGAATGAGCAGCGAGATATCTCGAGCTAACAAAAATTAATCCAGTTGTCATGATTCGACTTTCTGACACAGCCAATAAGGTGCTGCTGGTGGTTGGGGTGTCTTTCTAAAAGGAAGGAAAGAACCAATGGACTTTTCATGGAAATAATTTAATGGGCAATTTTGGCAGCGTTCATTGGAACAGAATTCAAATCCTGGACCTTCCCCACCTTTGCTGTCCTTGAACACTTAGGAGGGTTGAAGAGAAGACTGGAAGAAGAAGACCTTACAAGGTCCCTTCCAACTCTGTTAATCTGTTAAAAAGATGAACTGGCAAAAATCTTCTGCTCTTCCTTTCCAGGAATGCTGAGCAGATTCCAAGATAGGATTCTTCTTGCCAGAAAGGAAGATAAACACCTCTAGAACCATGGTGGCGAACCTATGGCATGCATGCCGGAAGTGGCACACTGAGCCACTTCTGCCGGCAAGTGAGAGCTCGCCCGGAAGAGTCCCACTACACATGCGTATGCGCTGGTGCCGCCCGACAGCTGATTGTCGGGTATCTGGCACACATGTGCAGGGGGGCGTGTGGGGGAGACATACAAGCATGCACAGATGCATGGCACATGGCAGGGGGATCATGCGTGCATGCGCGGGGCTGGGGGGGCAGCATGCATTGCCTTCTGGGTGGTGGTACGTGAGCGCGAGCACACAAGCCAGGGGTGAGATTCTACCAGTTCGCACCTATTCGCTAGAACCGGTTGTTAACATTCTAAGCAGTTCAGAGAACCGTTCGTTAGAAGAAATTACTGGCCTAATCCTGTAAGGAAGGCAGGAAGGAAACATTCTGGTGTTGCTTACAGAAACTGCCTCTCTGTTAACCCTTATTACATTCTCAGCAGGACTAGACTACCTGTCTCAGGAACTTCTCTGGAGTTTTTTTCCCCTCCTTTGCTGGTACTTTGCTTGTGTGGAGTGACCATTCAAAGTTACAATGGCACTGAAAAAAGTGACTTATGACCATTTTTCACACTTACGACTGTTGCAGCATCCCCACAGTCATGAGAGACCAGGCGAGGAGATGCGTGCCTCAATGTGAGTGATGTTGAGTTGGCCACACCCAGCCAATAACATGACCAAGCCACGCCCACCCAGTCACATGACCACCAAGCCACACCCACCACCTAAACCACCCACAGAATCGGTTGTTAAAAAATTTGAATCCCACCCCTGACACAAGCGTGCGCAATTATTGGCAAGTGAGCCGAAAAGGGTTTGCCACCACTGCTCTAGAATAATCTCTCCATTCCCCACTATCCTGTCAGAGCTGAAGAATCTTCTTGGAGGAGAAGTGAAAGGTCTTCAAAGAAAAACCAGAAAGCCCAGTTGCCTCTTGAACAAAGCACCTTTGGGACAACCATGACCTGGATGATTGAGAATCTCCATAAACATCTCTAGAATAATAGTCGGAAGGGATCTTGGAGATTTTCTAGTCCAACCCCCAGATTAGGCAGGAAACCCTTATAACTCCTCTTCCAATTATTTGTTTCAGATAGCAAGGAAAAAGTAAAACTCCAGCCTTACGTCCCAGGTCATATTTACATTTAACTGTTTTTAGGTACAGGTAGTCCTTGACTTACTACCACAATCGAACCCAAAAGTTCCGTTCCTAAATGAGACAGTTCAGTGAGCTTTGTTCCATTTTACCACCTTTCTTGCATCGTTGTTAAGGGAATCACTATGGTTGTTAGTACCACGATTGTTAAGTGTGAATCTGGCTTCCTCACATCGACTTTGCTTATCAGAAGGTTACAACGGTGATCACATGATCCCGGGACACGGCAACTGTCATAAATTGCCAAGCATCCAAATTTTGATCGTGTGACCAAGGAGATGCTGCAACAATATAAGGGTGAAAATAAGTCACTTTTCTCAGTGCTGTTGTAATTTCAAACAGTCACTAAATGAAGTGTGTGGGTGTGGGTGTGTGTGTGTGTAGGTAGAAGAACTGATGGCAGGTGGACCCAGGCAGTCATAGAATGGATCCCACTTGATAAAAAGCATCCACGAAAGAGGCCTAAAACAAGATGGATGGAGGACATCAGCAAGTATTGTGTGCCCAATTGGCAAAAGAAAGCTCAGGACCGTATTGGTTGGAAATACAGTATATGGAAGAGGCCTTCATCCTGCAGTGGATAGACAATGGCTTAAATAATGATGATCAAATATAGCAATAGCACTTAGACTTATATACCACTTCACAGTACTTTACAGCCCCCTGTAAGCGGTTTTAGAGCCAGTCTATTGTCCCTAACAATCTGGGTCCGTTTTACCAATCTCGGAAGGAGGAAGGCTGAGTCAACCTTGAACTGGTGAGGATCGGACTGCCAAACTGCTGGCAGTCAGCAGAAATAGCCTGCAGAACTGCATTCTAATCACTGCACCTGCATATACTGTATATATTAATTACTATGATTTAACTGCATTAGAGATGAGGTAAGCCTCCCCTATTTAAAATGGACATAAAAAGCAGACTTCAAGACATACGGTCCTCCAGCAAAAGTTTTTTATTTTGTTTTGGCACAAATAGACCACAATAACATTCAGCAGCTTCAGGTTCAACTTCAAATCTGGACAGCTTGAACCGTCTTCTCTTCTGCCACCGCAGCAACCGATAAGATAATACTGGGCAAATACAAATTGTGCTATTTTGAGAACCATTATCTCTACAGTTTCCACTCCAGCGTACAACTCTTGTTCTCCTCCACCACCAACCCACCAGGATCCAGATGGTTTGAATTTCGGGCAAGTTTTGGATTTGGATTCAAAAAAATAAATAGTGGAATACAGGTAGCCCTCGACTTACGACCACAATTTTCCATGGCAAAGCAGAATAGTTGTTAAGTGAGTTTTGCCCCATTTTATGACCTTTCTTGCCACAGTTGTTAAGCGATAAGTGAATCACTGCAGTTGTTAACACGTATATTAAGGGAATCTGGCTTCTGCTTGTCGGAAGGTCGCAAAAGGGGATCCCCATGACCCGGGACACTGCAACTGTCATAAATGCATGCCAGTCATCAAGCATCTGAATTTTGATTACGTGATTGTGGGGATGTTGCAACAGTCGTTAAGTGTGAAAAAAAATGGTCATGGGATCCTACCAGCATAACAACCGGTTCGGTGAGCGCGTGCTTTGCACAATACTTGTAAATCAACTTCTCCTGTTGATGCGCGACACTCAGCTGTGCCGCACAAAGCAACCAAGGTTTCTTTAGCAGGGAATAAAGGACAGCCTAGAGCCCAGGCGGGCAGGTGGGCCAAACCGAAGAAAAGAAGATCTTCGGAGCAAACCGATTCGGTGTCAGCTGCTCTTCGGAGCTACCGGTTCTATAGAACCGGGCCGAACCGGTAGAATCCCACCCCTGGTCCTGGGTCACTTTTTCCAGTGCCATTGTAGTTTCAAACAGCCACTAAATACATGGTTGTAAATTGAGGACTATCCGTGGACCGATTAAAAGATGCACGGACAGTATAGTCTGCCTGAAGAGACTCTGAAAACTTTTTTTTTTTTAAAAGATCAAGATCAAAAGATCGTTTCAGTAGTATCTGAAAATGCATCTAGACATTCGTATCTGTTATCTGTGCATCTGAATGGGGAAAGGTTGCACCTATTTTGAGTAGCCAAGGAGAGATTATCTGCAGTTCACGTTTTCTGTCCCCATCGTGAGACTTTACCTTTCTAAACAAAAAGGTGAAGCAGCGGGAATTCATCCCCGGCCTTTGAGCTACAGATGCTGAACCAGAAACCTCAGCAAGTTCTATGATTCACAAGACAAACGGCATGTTATAGAGCTCCACCGGAAGACATCTTATTTGACCGTTGCTAAATGAGCTCAGGATTATCACCTCATCATGGGCACCATGAGGACTTGGGTTAAATTCCCTCCGGGCCTTGCTAACTGTGCTATCACCATCTTCTACACATGGACTCCCAACTCCCAAAAATTCTCCAGCTAGCATGCCAACCCAGGTCATCCTTGACTTACAACCACAATCGAGCCCAAAATGGCTGTTCGTTTAGCAAGACATTTGCTCAGTGAGTTTTGCCCCCATTTTTACGACCTTTCTTGCCTCGGGGGGGGGGGGGGGTTAAATGAATCGCCGCAGGGGTTAAGTTAGGAACATGGTCGTTAAGTGAATCTGGCTTCCCCATTGACTTGGCTTTTCAGAAGGTTGCAAAAGGGAGAAATCACGTGATCCAGAGATACTGCAACCGTCCTAAGTACGAACCAGTGGCCAACCGCCCAAATTTTTATCGCATGGCTGTGGGGGTACTGTAACGGTGGTGTGAAAAATAGTCATAACTCTCTTTTTTTCAGTGCTGCTGTAACTTTGGTCACTGAATGGACTGTTGTAAGTCAAGGATTACCTGTACCTTAAAGTTGATGAGGTTGAGAATCGCTGGTTTATGCAACGGGGGGTAGGGGGTGTTCAGCATGCAAAGCTTCCCTAGCCCCCCCAATCTCCTTGCCCCACTCTGCCTTCTCTCCAAGAGCATCTTTCTCGGGCCTCAATGCCAGAAACAAACTATGTCTTCCTTCGGCATTCATGCTACAAGGTTTCCGGGGAACTGCCTGTTGCTACAGTACAGCCCTTAAAACTGGGAGGCTGGCAAGCATAGGGTGTGCTTTAACTCATGATTACAGTGGCAGGCACTACAAGGGAGGCTTGGCACTGCCCTCTGCGGGTTCATTTCACAAATGGTCGTGGCTGCAGAAAGCCCTGCAGCTTTTAAAAAGGGGAGTGGGATTGCTCTGAGCGCCCCAGCAGGCTTTTCATTCCCCAATAACGGACAGGTTTTTAGCCCCCACCTCCACCATCCCCGTCCCATCTTACAATTCAATAGTGTCACTTGAGAGGCTGCGGGAATCCACTTGTTTGCTGAGGGCCAGAAAGCTCTTGCGGGCCTCATGTTCGGAGTTTGGAGCGCTGCTGTATGGTGCCGGAGGGAGATCCTCTGCCTGCGCCTGGTGCTGTTGGCTGGGCAGCTCCTCTGAGGGCAGGCTTTCGGGAGAGGACACCCCATGGCGCCAGGGGTTCCAGCTGATTTTCAGGGACGCCCGGGAGAAGGAGGTGCGCGAGAAGCTGCCCAGGGACGTGTCCGTGGCGGGCTCGCTAGCCAGGCCTCGGCCAATCAGATCTCCCACTGAGCTGGTCCGCGCTAAGCTGTAAAGGCAATCGGGGTCGCTGCTCCGACGGGGCTGGGCCAGCAGGGGCTGGGCTGCATGGGACAGTGTGGAGCAGTCGCCACGCAGCGAGGCACAGGAGTCCTGGCGCGCCGGGAAGCGCAGGCTAGAGTGCAGGAAGATCGAATCGCGCACCAAGTGCTCGCGGAAGAGCGCTTCATCAATGCTGCGGCTCAGGTTGATGGGCGAGGGTGGGCGGAACTCCAGGTCAGCCAACGAGAGGACTGACTCCCTCTCGAAACAGATGCTGGTGTAAGAGCGGCCCATCGCTGCTGCCACAGCCACATTGGGGCACTTGGGGCTGTAGCCTGCACGCCTCAGAGAGGGGCTAGCGCCCTGGCCGGGTCCTGCTCGCAGGTCATTGCTGTCCTTGAGACCCCAGAGTAGCCCACCGGCGGGGGAGTTCCGGATCAAGTTATTATTGAGGTTGTGACTGGGTATCTTCTCCAGGACTCCGCCAGGCCAGTCATAGCAATTGTTGGGGTACTCTGGCACCTCAGCCTTGCGGTAGGCACAGAAGTAGCTCAGGAGCTTGGCCCAGCAAGAATGCTCGGTGGTATCGTGGTGCCGGCAAAGTGCCTGCCAAGCCAGCGAGACCAGGATAAAGGAGAGTGCCAGTTCGCCAATCCGGAACCAGAACTGCACAAACCACCAGCCCCAGGTGAAAACGTCCAGCTGTCCCAATGCCCCCGAGAGCCACAGTACCCCATAGAACTGCAGGACGCAGCATGGCAGTACCAACCCACTGCTTGCCAACAACACCCAGGCTTCCCGCCATATGCCTGGCTCCAGGGTGCCCTCTATCCCCTGGTTGTGCCGCAGCAGCCAGTACACAAACACAGTGGCCGGCAGGAGGCAGAGACCGGCTGTACAGGAAAGGGTGTGGAGTCCCACAGACACAGCTGAGTGCATTGCAGGGGACAACAAGTCAGCCCCCAAGAGAACAATGCTGTGTAGGGAGCTCAGCGCAGCCCAAAATGCCAAGCTCTGCCATCTGGAGGGCAAGACCTGTAGCCGAGCCTGATGAACCAGGCGGAGCAGAAGTACCGTGAAGGTGCTCAGCAGCAGAGGGAAAGGTGCGGTGTAGAACAGTCGCATAGCACGGGCAGGCAGTCGGCCCAGAGAGCCGTAGGGGTCAGCCAGGAAGAAGGTGGCTCGCAGTACCCCAAACACCAGGAGCAGACCACTGGCAGCCAGGACATAGGGGAGCTGTGACCTGTGCAAAGAAAGGGATACCCCCAGACACGCCAAGCTCAACAGGCTTAGCAGCAGAAAAAGCACTCCAGCGCCGTAGACATGCAGTGCCCAGGCAAAACTCAGCGTCTGCTCAAGTTCCCCCCAGCGCAGAAAGGTCTTGTTGGGCAAGAGCTGGTGGCAGGTGCTTCCAAGACGGGGGCAAGGTGGACTGGAAGCAGGGGGCATGGCAGGCAGGCTTGGATCTGGCTTAGGCAACTGAGGATGCTGCACAACTCTTTGCGTGGTGACTTGGATTAACCCACGGCGAGAGGTAGCTGGAACACGAGCAGATGTAGTGGAGGCCACAGTGCTACTTTGTCCAGATGGCTGCTTCCAAGCTGGATCTGAAAATCAGAAAGAAGCGAAAGGATGATCAAGATTTAGGAAGCACCGGGCTTGCAGTATACAGCACAATTTCCTGATTCCTTGTCATTCTGACCTGTGCTCACAATAACAAAACAGAGGTCCAATACAAGTCAAAAATATGGTACTATGATAATCATGAAATACTTTGATTTTATCCAAAAATTTAATAATAGGATGCAACAAATTAGAGTTGCTGGACCTCTCCAAGCCAGAAGGGCAGGGAAGAATATATCTCCCAACTACTGGAACAGTTTCAGAGGTCTGTATGTTTCTTGCTCCTCCCTTATTTTTTCTTTCAAAAAAATAAATTAATTAAAAAATACATGGTTGAAGAATTTGGTGTGATGTAGAATTTAGTAAATTTCATAGATTTTTTTGTAAAGCACAGACTTGGAGCTAAATTGAAAATATCCCCCTTCTGCTCATTGATCTGCCTTCAAGAACTATCAAGAACTATTTACGAATATTAAAAACTGGGCCTTTGCAGGAGTGTCCTCTGTAATGATATGTGGGAATGACTTGAGGAGACAGGGAGGAAGAGTCGCAGCCTAGATCAGAAGTCTCCAAATTTGCTGGCTGGGGAATTCTGGGAGTTGAAGTCCCCCAATCTTAAATTGGTGACTGAGAATCTCTACAGGCTTTCTCCAATCTTTTTAAAGTTGCCAAATTTGGAGACTCCCTGGCCTAGATAACGGTCAGATAAACTAAACCTGAGGCCGAAGGACGGATGGGGTGGAGAAAGTGCCTCACAAAGGCTCCTCCCTAGTTTTCGGGAGAGTAAAAGTAAGGGAGTAGAGAGATAATTTCAGACTGCGGATGATTCTGTTACAGGTAATCCCGGGTCAATACCATTTGTTCAGTGGCCATTAAAAAGCTACAACGGTGCTGAACAAGGAGATTTAGAGCTGGTCCTTGTATTTGCAGCCATTGCAATGTTCCCATGGTCGCATGATTGGGATTCAGGCACCTGGCAACTGGATCATAATTATGGCAGACACAGATCATGTGATCGACCTTGGCAACCTTAGCGTCCAGCTTTTGACAAGCAGAACCAATAGGGAAGCTGGTAGGATGTCACATATGAGGATTGTGGAATATCATGCTAAATGACCATCCGGGATCTACTTAATAACCTCAACTGGAACTGCCAAGTTGGTGTAGTCGTGTGACACCCCGCTTTACAACTGTGCCTCTTAGTGACAGATTTGCTGGACCCAATTACCCCCATTAATTAAAAACCTGGAGTTTAACTTAACAATAAAGTAGCGGTTGATGCTTCTTGGATGGACTTTCTCAAAGGGCTGCCATCCCCTTGAACATTTATTTTTATTTGATTTGATTTGATTTGTCAATCGCTTACAAGATAATAGGTATAAGAATAAACATAGTTATGAATACATGAAATGGATACATATAAGAAAAACAAAAAGAAACAATAGGACAGGGACGGTAGGCACGTTAGTGCGCTTATGCACCATATGCTACATATCCCCTCAGCATTACCTTTGGCAATTTTTTTTAAGCAGTTAGGGTTTATAGGCAGATTGGCTCGGTTCATAGGAGATATTTATCCAAGCTCATTAATTAAACTACACGAGTTAATTAGTCCAAATTCCTCAGTTCATAAAGTTCACTGGACCATATAGCCAGAGAGGATGGATTTGCACATCATACTAGGGCCTAAAATGTGATCGGCTATTTTGCACTACAGTAAATCATGCTATTATAATCTGTGTGTTTTAATTTAATTGTTTTAATTTTATTTCTATTTGAGTGACTCTGCTAGTCATCGTTTTGGTTTCTGTTTTATTGATAACACACACACCTATAGATCTGTTGTATATTGTATCTATTAATTAATATTATTAATTAATTAACTTAATATTTATTAATTAATAATGAAAGTGGTAGTGTCGATTCAGAACAAGCTTTTTAAATATGTATTTAGGTTTAACTTTTCATAATAGAAATCGCAAGAAAATTGAGAAAACACTTAGTGCCTAAATGCATTCAAAACAATCCATACAATTAAATAAAACTGTGAAAATGGAGAAAAAAGCCCATAGGAAAGAAAAGAGATTTTTTTAAAAAATCCAAACTTTCTAAAGAAAAGAAAAAGAAAAGACTATACAATGAGCTATGGTGGCGCAAGTAGTTAGAGTGCAGTACTGCAAGCTACTTCTGCTGCCTGCCGGCTACCTGCAATTTGGCACTTCAAATGTCACCAGGCTCAAGGCCTTCCATCCTTCCAAGATGGGTAAAATGAGGCCCCTGACTGCTGGGGGCAATAGGCTGACTCTGTTAATCGCTTAGAGAGGGCTGTAAAGCACCGTGAAGAGGTATATAAGTCTAAGTGCTATTGCTATTCAACATATTGATAGTCACTGGTTTACTCATTAATACCTTGAAATGAGGTGTGTGGTAGGGAACTACATCAAGTAAATACATTGCAAGGGTATAAGGTTTATAAAAATTTCTGAATGTAGTTATAAAACACAGGTTTTCTCAAATCGAAATGCCAAAGCTAGCTTTTCCCCTCAACTTCTAGCAATCCATTCTTGTTTTCCACTCTTCTCTGGAACTCAGATTTCCTACCAGCCTTAACAATTACACCTTATTTTTGGGGGGGGGGGGGTGGGGGGAGGGGGGAGCTTATTCAATCTCTTTGAGTCTAATTCTCTTTTTCTCCTGTTAAGTCGTGCCCAATTCTTGCAGACTGCCTGGACAAGTCCCTGCAGTTCTCTTGGCAAGATTTTCCAGAAGTGATTTGCTAGAGAAAATAATTAACCAAGATCACCCACCTTGCCCAAGACAGGATTGGAACTCATGGTGTCCTAGTTTCTAGTCTGACGCCCTAACCACTAGACCAAACTGGCTCTGGCCCTAAATTAGGAGGCAATAAGTATCTTGGGTTTTCCATGAACGTGGGGGAATATAAGGTATCTTCAAGATTATCTTCTCCAATTTGAATCTGCCCACCCAGATTAGGAGAGAAAGCCTGTTAAAATTTTCCTTTACTAAGAGGATTCCAATGAGGGAGACCCCATGTCAACCTTTCTCAGTAATCATCTCCCCTCTGTGTTACCGATTGCTCTCTTGTGTTACAATCCACCCCTTCTCTATGGGTCTACCAGAATGTTTGAACAGATGGAATCTCAGAAAGGAAGTGAGGCCAACAAGGGCTCATTGGATATGATAGTTAGTGGATGTTTATAATCACATATTGTGGTTATTGATTTAATCTTTGGATTGCTGGATGTAAGCTTCTCAAAGCTTCTGTTACGTTGAACAATACAGAAGCCATACTGAATAAATGAATGAATGAATGAATGAATGGATGGATGAATGAATCAACACTTTTGAATTTCATGGTGTAATATAGGTAGAATACAAACATTAATATGATCAGACTTGCAAGTTTGTGTCTCCCAGGCATATCTGACTTCAGTTCTCAGGCTGGCTGGTGGTAATTGAAACCAAAGCACATTTGGAAGGCACTAGGAAGCTTAAGACTGTTCTAGATTTTGTTGGAGGTGCAAACATTGGAAGATTCAACCGACACATACAATATGGTTGAGTCATCAACTGGCAACTTTTTGGAATAGTGTTTTAGTGCATGTAAGTAGATTTGTGAGGAAATCCTTAAATGTTAAATATGTGAATGTGTTGCTGACTAATATACCAAAGCTTTGGAATCTGTTTACAGAAATTACGGCTGTATCAAGCATTGAGGCTACAGAGTTAGCTAAAAAATTACACCGAGAAATTGGAAAACTCATATTATTCCAGATATTAAAGAATGGTTTTGGGAAATGTGTGACTTATCTGTTATAGAAAAGACAATATTTTCTATTAATCAAAAATGGAATATATACTACTGTAGCAGAGATTTTTTTTTGTTATTTTATAATAATAATTTTTAATTATTTATATTATAGCATTGTATGGTATTAATGAGTAAATGAGTATTGATATGTTGAATATATAAAGTCTTTTTTTTCCTTTTTCTTTTCTTTAGCCAAATTTGGATTTTTGAAATCTCTTTTCTTTCCTGTGGGTTTTATTTCCCATTTTCACAGAGTTTCATTTAATTGTATGGATTGTTTTTAGTGCATTTAGGCGTTTTCTCGATTTTCTTGTGATTTCTATTTTTAAAATACATATTTAAATACCTATTTAAAAAGCTTGTTCTAAATCTACATTACCTCTTTCATTATTAATTCTGCTCTATAGTTTCTTTTGAAATATGGTTGTTCTATATCTCATCTCTTCAGGATTGAGGCTTTCTCAGCTCAAGCCACGAGAAAAGGTTATCCTCCAAGCCTTTATTATTGGTAAGAGGAAAAGAATAATTTAATTAATTTTATTAAAAATTATTAATAAATAATTCCAAGAAAACAAGATGGTAATCGCACTCCCAGTTGTATAACAGCTTGGTTGCAAATAATTGAATTCACAACTTGGTTGCAAATAATTGAATTCACATCGGACCTGAATCAGCAATGGAGGAACTGGTTCATTGCAAGGATCCTCTCATACAATGCACACAAAAACAGTATCTCATGAGATGCCAAAGAAGTTCCTGAATCAGCTTTGTAGTGTCTAGGAGGCAGACTTTGGATACACAATGGATTATGGAGAGGAGCTGTGGATGTGGATGTAATACTAGGTTACCTAGATTAGTATTTTCCTCTCTAACTCTCATAGCTCTTTATATAGTAAAAGTATTCATTTATTTACATTGATTAAACAAATTGGTACAGTTGCCTATATAAATCACAGAGGGGACTCTAGGTGATTTAAAACATTACAAGCGCACCAACGTGCCTACAGTCCCTGTCCTATTGTTTCTTTTATTTTTCTTATATGTACCGATTTCATGTATTCATAACTATGTATGTACTTATACCTATTATCTTGTAAGCAATTGACAAACCCAAATAAATAAAAATAAAAATTCCTCCCCCGGCAGCATGGCAACGCATTTATTTATTAAACAATAAATTATCTCCTATCAGATATCAGGGATCGGCTCTAATTTCATATACCACCCAAATCGTATGAATTTGATTTATTGCAGAATAAATGTGGTACTTAATGCAAATTCTAAAGCCCACTCTGATTCCTCCCCAGTTTTAGCTTCATGGGGCGACCAGAAAACAGCCCAGAAGTGAGGGTTGCTTTGATGCTCCTGTCTGGAATCAAGCCCTGCCAGCAACAATATACCAGATGCTCTGCATACAAAGTCACTCCAAATCAAATCCTGGTTTACTGAACTCCCTCAGCAGTGGGATATGAATTCAACCATCCACTGAGAAATCGGAGCATCTCACTGAGGGGCAATGGAAGCATTCATCTGAGGCCTGTAGCCATTCTGATGCACAACAGTATCTCTCCAACTCAAAACCTCTCCTCCTGTTTTTGCAGAGGCAGAATAACTCATGCAGCATTCATCACCGTCAACATCAAAATATCAGCCGGTTCAGCAAATTCCCACCACAGCAAGCTTAACAATTGCTTTGGAACTCAGCTCCAGTGATAATGCGATTCAGCTCCTTCAATAGCATTCCCACTCTATTATTAAAATGGATTATTTATAAGGCATTGACAGGGTAAATGGCACCTTTCAGCATACAGAAAGCCATGACATTGCTCTTCATTTCTAATCCAAAATTTAAGAGTGACAGAAGACCATGGATGCAATTTCCAAAAAGCGCAGAGAAGGAAGAAATAATTGAGAAAGAATCTAGTGCTTGGTATGGTTTGCCTCATATACTGTACTTCCAAGAGAAAAACTAAGACCGGTACCCAATCTGGAATTTGTATTTAATACACAAATATACATAAATATATTTAAAAGATCAGCTCTTACTATTTTTTTATCTCCTCTAGTATATTATATATTGTATAATAATGTCAATAATTCTAGTTATAAAACCTTAATAAGGCCAAACCTGGAATACTGCATCCGGTTTTGATCCCCCACGTTATAAAAAAAGATGTTGAGACTTTGGAAAAAGAGCAACTAGGATGCTTCAAGGCCTTGGGACAAAAACATAATGAAGAACAGTTGCAGGATTTGGGTTTGGCTAGTCTAGGAAAAAGAAGGACTAGGGAGGACATGATAGCAGTATTCCAGTATCTGACAGGTTGCCACAAAGAGGAGGGGGGGGTCAACCTATTTTCCAAAGCACCAGAGGGAAAGACAAAAAACAATGGAAATTAATCAATGAGAGAAGCAACCTGGAATTAAGGAGAAGCAGAACAATTAACCACTGGAAAAGCCTGCCTTCAGAAGTGGTGGGTGCTTCATCACGGGGGGGGGGGGGGGGGTTAAGAAGAGACTGGGCAGTCGCTTGTCTGAAATGGTCCCCTTCCAGCTCTGTTCTGATTGATATAAGGT